TCTTAGCGAGAATCATCCCGGTAGAATATCTGGCGGAGCGCTACAGGGATGTCTATCTGGACACACGATCGATACAGGCCGAGGAAATCAGAATTACGCCTCGCATGCACGAGAGGATCAGAGAGCGGGCACTGGACGTGGCATTAGCCAGATGGAAAGATGACTACGAACGACCGGGAACGACGGCAATAGAGGTTAGGAGAGCCATTGTCCCGGTACTGTCACAATGGTTCAAAAGGAGTCACGGTCACCTTACATATCGGATGTCAGATGACACAGATGGTATCCGGGCATGGCTGTTTTAATGACTTCCTACATAGAATAAGCAGGGCCCCCGGCAGGGAATGCTCTTTCTGCGACGCTCCCTGCGACAATAATTTGCATACGTTGGGGGGTTGTCAGGCGTGGGACCTGGACCGACAGGCGTTAGTGAACGTAATTGGACAAGACATGTCACTGGGCGCGGTGATCGCGGCGATCCTCGAGTCGAACGAAAAGTGGTCAGCATTTAGCAGGTTCTGCGAAGATGTTATGTTGAGAAAGGAGGAGGCTGGTAGAGCCAGGGAGGCGGAGGCGCTAGCGGCGGCAGGGATCTGGGCGGATTACTCCGAAGAGGAGGAGGAGGATGAGTGATACGTACATGTAGCCACTTTGGCTGCTCATGTAACCGGAATCAATGCCCGTTTCTATGAAATCGACAATATGATACTCTCTTGATATGACCATCGGACCTTTTTCCCCGAAGACCCCTTTCGTCAGCGCACTTATCGTACGCCCGCACGGTTCTTGATATGCCGACTCTAAGTGCCAATTTTATTTTAGATATTCTATCCAAACGAGACTGACCTAAGTACGTTCGTTCAACGACAATGAGCCTTACCCTTCTCGTCTTAGGTAAATGTTAGACTTACTGCGGTCGCCACCCTGTTTGACCCTCAACAGGGAAGTAGATTTCCTTGGATCAGCCGCCCAGGTTTACCGGATCCTCGTCCTTCCTTCTGGTTG